CAACGTAATAATACCTCTTGATCCCCAAAAACGTTATCACAAAAAAGTGACGCCAAGAAAATATCTACCGGAAATATTCCACCTTTCTGGCTGTATCAGCTGATCTCCGAAACGTTCTCTGATCACGCGCGAAAGTTACAGCACTGAGTAAAAATGCTCAAAGCAAACAATATACTGTGTTAAGGTCCCTGAATTGGTGTTTCCGCCACCGCTGTGGCTTTGAGGCACCGGCAGTGCATAAAGTGCAAGATGCGCATTGCGCGAACTTTCGTGCAAGCAAGAAAAACCAGGGCGCCTTCAACTTTTTTCACGCAACACGCGCATCCATAGAGCACGAATAGTTGCATCCAGGCGCTATGATGAACTTTGCCTCCTTTCTTCCATCTATTGGCTGCGAAACTACGGGATACGGAGAACATTTCGACAGTGAATGTGTAATTACCAAACCGCGTACCTCGAATTGCGACGTTACAAGTCTCCTGTCACATTTCACTATCCAAAAAAGGCCCAATTATCATTTTTTGTTCAACATATAGTTCGTTCTTTTCCGTTTTTTGACATTTTTAAAAGTTTTGCAGAAAAAAGCCGAGCCGTATTTTCATAAAAAAATGATCAACAAGTGAGAATTTTCAAACCAAAAAATTTACCGTATTAGAGACCCTTAATTTGGTAGTATCGTTGAAATTATTTTCCTCGGTTTTCCAGTTATCGATTAAAAATTCATCCGGGAAAGTCACCTTAGCGGTCGAAAGTTTTTCTGTAGTAGGCGGTCAGAAAGTCATCCGATAGAGTTACCTCAGCGGTGAAGAGACATCTCGTAATGTCTACCTTTACGGTATTTGGAAAACTTTCTAGTTAAGGATACGACACCGGCGAATAAAGTTTTATTTGAAGATACCGTACGGACGAATGATGCCAACCTAAAATTTTATGTCCATATATGGAGACTTGGCGTTCGCTGAAGAGGTGAAATGCGTTTAAAAAAGCGAATACGACGAAATCTAAAATCATTGCCAATCACGATAAATATCGAGGAACAGCGAAAATTTAAAATAAGCAACGCGGAAACGCGGCCGCCAAATGTAAACAACCCGGCAATTTCCTCGACGGTGATAATTCGACCCAAATTTTCCGAAGAGCTTGCGTCAAATATTCATGGTTTACTCATAAACGGCAACGTTGCATTGAATGAGGCTCCGAGGTGGCCGAATGATAAGTAGCAGTTTTTTGTGAGTTCTCTTTCGCACGTCGTCGGCGCATCTTGGCCGGGGTCATGATCTCACCGCTCAAAAATGAAGCAGCGATGTGCATTGAGCGAAAACTCGTCATATTACAGCGCCGAGTTTTCCGCACTCAGCATTTTGTACTTACTCTTTTCAAGAGCCAGTTTGGAGAAAAACCTACATATCTTCGTTTCGTTAGAAGGGACGTAACTCAATTCCAACCTTGTGAAACTGACTCAAACAATCTAATTTTTTACGAGAGTATAACCCCGCAGTTTTCGTTGGAAAGTCTGATTTTTGCACGAGATCAAAGAGGATAATCTGTGTAATTTTCGGCTAGAAGTTCCCGATACTCTCATGGTACAACAGCAATTTGCGCGAGGCAATTTGGCAACATTGAACTGTAGTTACGTTTCTTTGTGGGGGAAACGACGAGATGACAGGAAAGTTTTCGCATCCCCGGTGCCTCCCATGCAGAGTCTCTCTTGAGTGTGTATTAAAACCTGCTTTAGATTTACGCTAAGTTCATCTGTAGAAAATTGAAAACCTCCCTCTGAAAAAACTTTCAAACATAATAATCGAAATTTATTTTGTGTTTGGTTAAATCTCCATTTTTTAGGATTTAAAGAAAGGAGGGAAAAAATAAAAAAGGATTCATCTCCCGCCCCCTTTCCATGTTTAATTTTTATGTAAAATATTTTCGGTTTAAAAAAATAAAATAAAATGAGATTGACCCAACTTGTGCCGTAGCTGTGTGGTATTTTTTCTCAATAAAATATTGGCAGAGAGTGTAATGTGTGCAGAGATGCAAAATGGCATTTCTCAGAGTACTGAGCACAGACTGTTGAGTGGTCTCATTTTCCTAAAAAAAAATTATCAAGTTTTATTACGAAATCTCATGATATTTCACTATGATATTTTATTTTTTAAAATTTCCTGAAATTTTGCATATCTTATTGCATGAGGAAAATCGGTGCCACATTTATACTTGCTCTCTTTATGCCATTCAATGAAACGACCGAGGTGCATTCTCAGAATTTTTGGAGAGTGACCGCTGAAAACGTAGTGCCAGTAAATTCGATATAGTTCGTGCAGTTTCCACGTAAACAGTTCCAATGATCGAATCGACATACAGCAAAGCAAAAAACAAATAAGTCCTCAGAAGGAAATAAAATCTGATGCCACCAGTTTTCGAACAATTATTTCAGTGCAATGAGAGTTTTAATTTTTCCGACAACAATATTGCCAAATGTTCTAACGACAGCTTGTAAGCTTAACGCAATTTATCGGATGATCAAACGGATTTTACGGCCCTTTTAAATGAAATTTAGCAACCACGGCCTTATCTCGGTCATATAAGACTGTTTCATTCTTCCGCCGATACTATTTACAACGCGGCGAACGGTTTCGGGCTTAAAAGAACAATGCATTCCATTATCATATCCGTCCGCATACCTTGGTGACGTACATAGAGAAGAAAAGTTTCCGAAAGAGGCCATAATTTCGTTTTATGATAACGTCCTCCAGCGTAAGTAGTAACTCAGTCCCAGTGATTTTGAGATGCATTCAAACTGCATGTAAGGTAAAAGTTCCCAATTTTCAGTACAGGAAAAAAAACGCATATCTATTTTTTTATTTATGAAGATGAAGGTGATTCGATGGACGCAATATTTTGTGTCAGAACGACATGCGATATATTGCATCGATTAGTTCCATTTTCTCAGCTACTTGTCATTTTTTTCGAATTTTGAGATCGCAATTCTGTTGTCAGGAGACTACAGAATTCACTTACCAATTCTGACAAACTAATTCAACTGAATAAAGGCGTGTTTTTTTTAGAAGGAAAATATCGCATTCGACACTGATATTGAAACTGCATTCGAATTCCATATTTTCCCTCTAAAAAAATCACGCCTATAATACGTTGAATTTGTTTGTCAAAATTTGTAGGCGAACTCTTCAGTCTCCTAACAATAGAATTGCGATCTCAAAATTCGAAAAAAATGTCGAGTAGCTGTAAAAATGTAACCGATCGATGCGATCTATCGCATGTTGTTTTGACACAAAATATGGCGTCCATCGAATCACCTTAAACTCGAAACTCTAAGGATATTTTAGTTTTGTTTCACCCAATATACTTGATCCATTCAATAAAAAACACCTAGCGTATCCAAAAAGACGCGTATTGAACACATTGCCAGCTTCAGACAATGATTAAAATTTTGAAAAAAAATAAATAAAATAAATAAATAAATAATAATAATAATGATAATATCTTTAATGAAACAACCTGTACTGTCGCCGCGCGATAGTAATATTTTTTGTATGAAAGTACGCAACTTTGCAGTGAAATGAAGCCCCTACGGCTCGGATCCCTTTGTTCATGAGAGCAAAATTGAGAAATTGCGAAAATCACTTCATCGGTGTAGCTTTCAAAATAAGATATTCAAAGTTTCCATAGCTCTGCCTTTCTTGATACTTTTCTCTACTTTTACTTTCGTTTTTACATGCACGTAACTCAATGGACGTTTTTATCTTTTGTGGCCTATATCAACTTGGAACGGGAGCAGCGGAGTCCTAATTTTTATCTCAAAGTAGATTAACCCCCGTTGACAAGGGCACCCGTCATTTGGCCGTAGAAATAACCTTTCAAAATCGTGAAACTAAATGTCAGCTTACACGGTTTCTCCGTCATTCTTAATGATTCTTCTCAATCCCCCCTCTTTCTTAATCTCCCATTAAAATTACGAGGTAAAAGGGGGAACTGGAGGCAGTGGAGGCTCCTTAACCCAAGATTATTTTTTGTATTGTACACCTCCGAACCCAACATTCAGTTGGTCTGCAGCCTGATTGTTGAAATTTATGTCGGCACGGCAAGAATCGAAAATCGATATATTACACGGCGCAGATAGGGCTATATCTTCTCTTATCGTGCCGAAATAGCCAGTTAAAGTTTCAACAATCCGGCTGCTGCCCATTTGTGAGTCGATCATTTCATTTGTAACCCCCCCTCCATTCCCTCAAGTTTTGGGGGTACTCTAGTTTTTGAGCGTTCATCACGTTCGTTCTTGTCGGAACCGTCGTCTTGTTTTTACAATTACGTCCGTCAATTTTATGCCTCTAGGCGTAAATACGTCCTATCATCCCGCCCGTCTTGTGTCTCCGACGCAAATCGTTTTCTTCCTGCTTCAGTATTCCAACGGTTGGCGGGAACTTCAACTGTAACAGGACTCAGCGCTTCTTTACGAGCAGCAACTCCCCTGTTTGCTGGCTGTTTAGCAGTGTGTCCGACAAGTTTACCAAAAATTGCTCATTCGATCAAACAAATGCTCAACCTATCAGGTCAAGAGCCAACGGGGAAACTAATTTTCAGGCTCAACTGACAGAGCTCCATAGAGTACATAGAGTCGTAATGTAAATGGGAGAGCTGGCGCCATGTTCTGCTCGACGAGTTCCGAGCCCGGTGTGCGCCGAGTTCGGGTCACTTTTTCGATACATGTTCGATCCAAAATGGTGGTATGGAATACGTGGTGATTCCTATCTTCTTTGTTTACATCAGATGGCCGGGTACCCGTGTATCGCAACCAATCGATTATGTATCGAAAAAGTGACCCGGCGTCACACAGGAGTCTCGGAATTCGGGACCTGGAAAATGCTTAAAAGTGGCTCCAGCTCACCCAATTACATTACGACTCTATGTACTCTATGCAGAGCTCCCACAGTAGAAGCTACTGGCCGTTGCATGGTTTAAAGAGAAGAGACGAGAAGAAGACTAACCTAACAACAGGCACGCATCCAGTTGATGCAGCGAGGAGTATCGGCGGATTTCCACTGTGATTCCAGTCCGGTTCATCGGGGTCCGCCCCGCGAGCGAGAATTTCCCTTACTTGGGCCACATCACATCGCACTACCGCGTCGTGTAAACTCGTCACCGGACTTGGCAGTTCACACGAGTTCGACTTCTCAGTTTTGAGTAAACACGACTCGAAATCCGGCGCTTCCCACGCACTGGAATCCGGATCAACACTGTCAACTATTTGTGAACTCTGCTCGGCGTTCGAGTTCACCCACGCACTTGTGGCCGAGGAACACCAAACTAAATCAGGCGGTCGAGACTCGAAATTTGTCCGGTAAACCGCTTCGTGTAAACTAGGCACGTCGGATTTCGAGCTTGTGTCAACGCTGTCGTGTAAACTGTGATCTACGTCCGACTCACATCCCAACCTACCTTCTAAACGAGACTCTTCCCGCACATCAATATCCGAGTTCGCTCCTTCTATCCCACGTGAACTTGTCTCGTTCCATTCGCAGGACTCCGAATCCGTCCTGTCAACTGTATCGTGTCCACTGCACTCCAAAGATAACTCATACCTGGACTCGTACCATGCATCGGACCCCGAGTTCCTGTTGAGGACCTCGTCGCATGGGTCGGTCGTGTCAAGCCTAAGACTGGCCTCGTCGAGAGCACCAGGCTCCACGCCTAACATGTCAGTCGAATCGTGTGAACTAGTTCCGTCGCACGCACGTGTCACAGAGTGTATCGTGTCAACCGTGTCGTGTAACGTACGCACCCCGCACGTGATACGTGCCCTTCCGTCGGCTGCGTCGCGTGTCCCGTCGCACACAGTTGACACGAACTTCGTCCTGTCAACTACGTCGTGGAAACTGATTCCGTCGCTTGTAGTTGATTTGAATTTTGTCCTGTCAACCGTGTCGTGGAGACTGATTCCGTCGCTTGTAGTTGATTTGAATTTTGTCCTGTCAACCGTGTCGCGTGAACTAGTTTCCTCGCTAGGCTTTAGGTACGTCCTGTTATTTCGATCGTGTAAACTGCCGCCATCGCGTGCGTCAGACTCCGCGTCTGTCCCGTTGACCTCATGATTGGCGCATGACTTGAGGCCGCTCGCCGCGTCGTGTACAGCGAGCTCGGCACACTTCTCCCCGAACGAGAACTTGGTGCGGTGTATGGCGGGCGCGTCGATGCGTTTTAAGGCGAGTCGGAGGACGGCGCGGTTAAAGTTGTCACGTTCCTCGATGCGCGCACAGTCGCTCATGGCGGAGACTAATCGCTCGCTGATTGAGCGCGTCGCGGCGCCGGTCGTCCCCACTCTCGCTTCCCGCTCCTGACCTTGCCCAACGGTGGCGCGGGAACCGCAGCCGGGACCACATGTCGTCGCCCGGACCACATGTCTCGCGGAGGTTGTCCCGGAGGTTCTCGCCGCGGCGCGGCGCTCGGGAGAAGAGGAATTATTACTTCTAGGCATGAAAAGTTTCGCTTCGCATTTTTTTATGCCTTGAAGTAACAATTCTTTGCTGTCTGACATTTGTTCCATTCGTTCTCTCCGGTTCGGATGGATCGTCGCCTCGAAGTTGTGACTTACGTGTTTACTTCGGCTAGTGAAAAGTGATTGAAAGTCTTCTCCGATATTTATGAACCAAGAGCTCCATGGAGTCGCAAGACTGAGTTTGTTTTTTGGATGCCTTTTCTGGCGGAATATTGTTGCACAGGGTTGGGCATTAAGGCTTGAGTTAAGATGGTTTGTACAGAGGGGAACGATATTTCTCTGTTCTTGCCAAAATCGGATTAACTGTTTGAAGGAAAAGAGACAAAAATACGAGGGGAAAACTTTTAAAATGTTTCAGAGTAAACGCATTAAAAACTCTTTTTAAGCTTTAAGCTTTTTTTAGCTTTTTACTCTTTTTACTCTTTTTAGATCTACCTAAAAAAGTAACCATGCACTTTTACGAGATCCTTTTTTTCGCTGAATTTCTACAAAAAAAATCTTAAATTTTTAGTCTTCTATTTTGCAAGTGGTTGTTTTAATTTACAGTTTACAGCAGCATAGAAAAATATGTTTAAATTTTATAGTATTTTGATGCCAACTTTATTTCACTTTTTTCTCTCCGTAAGTTTTACATACATTTTACACATGAAATCTCTAAAACGGTATTTCAATCGACACATTATATTTTTCATCTTTATTTCTTTTTTCACTTGCTTTTCAGTTCATATTTAATTTTCAATGTTACCAGTGTGTTATAAAAGTCTGGTTTATATACATCCTCTATAATGTCAATTTTAGAGGACATTAAAATTAGGTTTAGGAAAATATTTTAACTTTTACCGAGTCAAATATGACAGAATACGGTTAAAGTCCCGTTTATTTTGCTCAAAAATAATCAGAATACATATCATTTTTCTCAGAGCTACAGCCACACCTGTAGAAAATCGGTCTATATTTGGTGATTTTTAAAAATTGGCCTTTTTCTAAATTAGTTTCTTAACAGCATTTTTAGACGGAACGATGTGTGTTTTATATATTTTGTCAAAATGACAAAAAAAAAAAAAAAAAAAAAAAAAAAAAAAAAAAAAAAAAAAATGATCAGAATTGCCATTTCGACTTCCGCATGGAGTAAAGGACGGAGTGCCAGAAGTATTTTCGGAGGCTAAACTTCACTAGGGGCCTGTCGACTGTCGAGCTAAATTACGTATAAGAAAAATAGATATCTGCTTGACATCCATATCTAACAATGATTGCGATATGAATGGTTGGTCCGGTGAGGCAATGTTAATAGGTGGAAAGTTTAAACAAACATTTCAGAGTATTTTCAGAGAACTGACTTTAATACTTAAGGACCTCAATTCAACCCTCTCCATTTTTCGCTTAAAGAAATTGATTTTTTCAGAAGTTTTTTAGGTGCAAATCGTATTCTAGTAGGAGAATCTGCACCTTGCTGATATGACAAGATGCAGCATCTCTTGTTGCAATGGTCATTGTAAAAAGTTCGACCGCAATGAAAACCTTACTTAGACGCACTCTTCGCGCATAAACGGTTTTCATAGTTGTTAGATCTCTGATGCACAAGTGGCTCCAATTGATCACATATAATAAATTCTCTACTTTCAAGCATCAATACATACGCGTAAAAGAGGTAAGATAAAGAGGAATATATATTTTCCTTTGTACTGGGAAGGTTTTTGGTATTTTATGAGTCTCCTTTCCCTCATTATTCGAGCGCAAAATTCAGAAACTAAACTATTCAAGCGAATATATGCACTCGTTTTTGCACGCTTTATGCGCTCACGGAAGCGGAATTCCTGTCAACTATGTTTATGTGTATGGCTGAAAATATTGTTTCATCTCTGATCTTTGAAGCACTAAAGGAAATCCTCATTTTTCTAATAGCTGAAACCCATTTTCCGTTTTCGCCGTAAATATATTCATCAAACAGCAGTTCTTCACAAACATTGGATGAGCTTAGGAAGGTAATTAGTTTTAATCGATTAGTTTTAATCGATTTTTCCAGGCAACATTAAACCATGTTTAAACTCGCTAATTTCATTTTTCGTGACAAATATATATTTACGTAACAATGACATTAACTAATGAACATTATTATACCTTAATTAAAGAGAGCTCTGAAACTCTCGCCCGCGCTATGAATGGGGGCTTGTAGAGTTCCCGTTGCAATAAAATTAGATTTTAGTCATGATTCGGAACAGTTTTTTTAGGAATCGTTTGACTTCTGATAATGACATTTTGTACTTGAGTGTAGGTTACTTGATTCCCTAGTAAAAGTAAGTCAGCCTGATGTCAGACTATGTTTCATAAACCACCCTGTATACTTAGTATATATAGTTGTATTTTTAAAATAACTTATGAGCTTATGAACTAGGTACATTCCATTTTTAGTTTTTATATGTAAAAAAAAAAAAAAAAAAAAAAAAAAACTTCTCACTATATTTAAGTGTCCCGAAAGTCGTAAAGGGCAACCCCCATAATCACGCTCTCGAAATCACTTTTGAAACTTATAAAAACACATTTCTTTAAAAATGTACGGTGCTATCTTCAGTCTTCGCTGTAGCGAAACTCGTTCTGTAAAGCAAATAAGAAAGTGCAAAACTATTATGGGGGAAATTTTTAAAAATTAGTTTTTGAATTGCTGACAGAAAGCTTTTTTAAGAATCTACTGAAGGGTAGTCAAATCACTGAAATCGAGTACTCTTTTTATTCCTTTTTAATTTCTCCCCCTAATCGATATTGACACATTGATAAACATAAGATAACAACCAAAACCATGTATGCTAAGTCAGAGCTATCCGCGTATCAATACCTGACCACCTTTCAACAGGCTTTGAAGCCAAAGACGCGCCTTCGGTCACGCAGTGATACCACACGCCTATCTCTGCGTCTCATTGCTTGTTCGTGATCTTTGAATTTGTAATTGAAAGCTTAGTGTATGCTACAATACAAATGAGTCATTTGTGCTGATCTTTAAATCGTGGTCAGATAGCAGCATTTCTTTGGAGAAGCAAAACACTCTTAGATCTTTGCCACATTTCTTCGTCAAATATCAACGCGGGTATGTAACCCTTGTAAAAGCAATCATGATTGATTCTAATCACCGTTTCTGGCGATTTCAACGGTCTATTTCACCCCTGCCTCATCAGATGAGTGGTTCTTTTACTCGCATGGGCTATACTCCATGTGCACCATAGTTAACTATGGTCAGAGAAATCATGGCTTGTAATACTACTGTTAATGATATCAGTCGCCATTTTTTTCGAACGGTGACAAAAGTATCCGTCCATGTCTAACGTAGAAAATTTTCAAGTGACTGACCTCATCATTTTTCGTTAATCTGCCAGTTTCAACTGTCTGCTTTCACAAAGTGCAACCGGCAAATTGAACGCATTTACGCAGAAAAAAGATTATCTACCACTTGGTCGAGCAAGCTCATATTTTGTTGTAATTGTTAGATTTGTTTTCTTGTATTTGGCCCGAAACGACCTGGTTGTGTTTCTCACTATTTTATCTTCTGCATGTATGTATACGAAACAAATGTGATGCGACATGCGTGTCGTAAGCATTAGTAATATTGTTGATCATTTTCAAGCTTCAAGTTATAAGTAGATAAAGCGTAGATAACGCAAGACAAACTGATTATTTTTCCTTGATTCGAAATTGTCGCTCTTTTTCTTTGAATGCATGGTGGCAATTGGCATACTTGTGTGCGTGTAATGAGATTGGTGACCTTTACGAGCGTTTGGTCAGGTAAGCGACTAAACTAACTGCGTGACAATGCGAAGAGTATCGTGGAAAAATGAAGGCGCTTTATGCCGAGTTCGTGCTTTCGATGGCATTTACTTATTAAGCCCTCATTATCTCGATGCATGCGTGCGGTTTTAAACAGTACGTAAGCCTTTTGCAAAATTCCCGCGATTTCTAAATGCCTTAGAAATGCAATAGTGCGCTGTACTTTTAAAAGTCTTTAATTGCTGGCTATTACTTTATTTGTGATTTTTTTTTTTTTTTTTTTTTTTTTTTTTTTTTTTTTTTTTAATCAAAGTAACGATATACAAAGTATGACTACAGACCTGTAGGGTCTTTTAAATCTTGAATTTAACTTATATACTAAATATAAATAAACTTCTGCTTTTACATTATTAAATTAAATAGTAAAAAGTTATTAGAACAAGAAAAACAAAAATAAATGAACAAGAAATCGAAAAGAACCTGGAGTATCAAGGCAAGGAGAAGCATGGAAAGTGATTAGTGGCAAACAGGCCAGGAAGCCTGGAGTGAAAACTGAAAAGAAAATTACGAAAATTTTGGAAATTACGGAAAACTAAGAGAAACTGGCATTTACTTATTAAGCCCTCATTATCTCGATGCATGTGCGGTTTTAAACAGTACGTAAGCCTTTTGCAAAATTCCCACGATTTCTAAATGCCTTAGAAATGCAATAGTGCGCTGTACTTTTAAAAGGCTCTAAGCTTTAATTGCTGGCTATTACTTTATTTGTGATGACAAATTTTAAATCAAGCATTTCAGCTCTAGAGCCTTTATCTTCATCCGATATTTTTCTTTTCTTTTCCTCTTCCTCTTTTTCTTACATTCTGAAGTTCCGGAAAAACTCTTACAAGGTTAATTACAGCTACTAAAACTGATTGATTAAAATATCATGCTAATCTTCAGTTTGATGATATTAAAATAGCACTGATCACGTGAAGACTTCAGAACTACGATAATAAAAAAAGTAGACATCATATACCACAGTTTACGGTTAT